CTAAGTTGTTTATATTCGTAGTATTTGATACTTTTTTTTGAGATAGATTCTTCAATCCAATCAACCCATTCATTTGAATTGTTAGCAGCTTGCATGTTGATTTATTAAAATTTTTTTATATATAGCGTAATGAAGTAAAAATTCTTGGAGAAAAGCAAAAAAAAAAAAAAATGCACGTGTAACATTTATCGACATTTTTATTTTTATTTAATGTTACACAAAGGATTTCTAAAATTCTATCTAATGATATAATATTTTCAAAAAATTTTCCCAAGCACATCTATGTATAATTTTTTTTCTTCAACATAGTTAGTTTAAGAAGTTGAAATATAACAACAACGTCGACAGGTAGTGAAACAAATATAATTTTCTATCGCCTTCATGATAATTAATTTTCTAACTAAACTGGCCGTACTCTTCGTCTCTTCTAGGACTACGCTCTCTTCCCTTTTTTTATTTTATAATTCTCTTTTCTTTTATTCAATAAAAAATAAAAATATAAATAAAACACTAATCGCCTTAGTTAAAGTGATATATCTGCTGGTCAGTAAATTCACTCCCTAAACTTAAGGACCAAAAATATAGAAAGAAGTATCCTCTCGTTTCGTACTATTTGCAAAGCAAGTAGAAAATATGGGTTCGTTTATCCTATGTCCAATTTGCGTCAAAGTGCATCTGCTAGTTTAGCATTAGATAATTTTTCTTTTGTTTCTTCTTCTATAAAACTTCTCTATATGTATTAATATACTTCTATTTGTATATTTCTAATGATATTATTATCCAATAAAACTAATGGTGCAAGCCGCTTTTGTCCTTGAAATTCTCTACTTTACTATTGACTTAAAATTTTTATATCTTATCCAAGTTCCTTGCATTTTCATTTAATAACCTTTCATCTCCATTGAATTCACCTTTTCTCTAATGACTATTGTAAAATATTCGGTCTGCTTCTGAACCAAATTTTACAACTTTATTTGTAAAATTAAGAATTGATTCTACTGAGGACTGCCTGAGGACTTTCTTATGCGATTGAAAGTTATCTCCATTTATTTTCCAAGATGGTTTGTTCCTATTACTGAACAGGTTTATGATAGCTCAAAAACTTCGGTTACGTGTGATCCGTACGATTGATAACTTTTATATCTGTGTTAATTTATTCTCAGTCATCTCAATCCAATTTTCAGGAATGATGGAACACGCTTAATCGCTGTTTTTAATTCATCTTTTATCCGATGTAGACGTACAGGATTTTAAAAATCAAACATCGATTTGATTGAGAATCATCGCGGATGTTAGTAATTAAAGCGCTCACTTTCTAAATAGATTAGTATGGCAATATAAAGTAAAGTCAATTTGAAATATTCATGAAGACGATTATAGGATTGGAAAGAACGTATGAAAAATTTATCAAATATTTTTAATATTCTTGATGTCATAGAAAACTGGTTTAAATACCTGATTAATCACAAAGGTTTGGGCAAAATCAAGTAACTCCTTTAGAACCATAGACAAAATTTTTTCCAAATTTAATTATAATAGTTGTATTTTATTAAAGAATTGTCTCGGTCCGGGAATTAATTGAATTTCCAAACGACAAAACAGATTTTGAAAAAATTAGATTAATGGCGTCGATGAAAGATACGCGATTGATCATCGTTATTCAAGTCAACATATCTTTAAACGATTTATGAATAATGCAAAGTTTGGTTTGGTTTGGATACATTCTTATAAGAATTCAATGTCGTTACCCAAAATTATTAGTTATCGAGTAACATTATGACCCTAAAATATATATGAATACATATATAACAAAGGTGAAATTACATTGGAAAAGATTCAAAATGCTGTTAATATTGGTATTTGTTAAAATAAAGATAATGAATACTGCAATTTGACGTTGACCTATCAGTCATGTGCATAAATTTGGTTTTGGAACCAAAATTTTAGATGTCCCCCTTTTTTACTGATACCTCCAAAACACTTTTAATTTCAAATACTGGATAAATTGTTGATGAAAAATTTGTAAAGCAGGGTCGACATTACTCAGAATATAATTTTTACAATGAAAAAATTAACTCATTTGGATATCGAAAGTATATTTAATCAGCTAAAGGCACTAATAATTTAAGGAAAAATATCAATTATTATATTAAGAAATTGCTTGGACATCTTGTGAAAATTTTATTATTATTTTTTTTACTGCGATGATTGTTTTTTTATTTATGTATATGATTACTATACAACAAAGTGGTGAGCAAGTGGAAATAGTAGAGACTTCAATTGAAAAGCTAAACTGTCATAAAAGGATAAATATGATCTAGTTTTTAAAGAAATTAATGATAGATTAATAAACATATGCATGAACAGTACGACCAGTAACAATTTGGAAATTACGCATAATTTCATATACGATGGAACGTGAGACTAATTTATTGAAACTGATCATAACATGTAATTTCATTATATGTCAAACAGTGAGTTTATCTGGAGTCTTGGCAGTATGACATCGGCTGCTAAAGAAAACTTTCAATTTTATCAAACGATGCTTCCTTACAGATCATTTACAATTTAGAATTACTCAATGTCGAATTACTATATTATCTCGTGAATAAGAAAGATAAATGATTATTTTTTAGCGTTGGACTAATTTTCTAAAAATATTCACGAAACTGAATGGACTTGAAGCCGTAGCAATGAAGGCAAGTTTATGTATGTAACGTCAGCATTTTCTGGGTAAGGAAAACACAATTTATTAAGCAGAAAATTCTGAAAATGGCAAAAGCTTGGTTTTTTTCTCATTATTAATGTAGTTAGCTATAATTCACATATTAGAAAACTTAAACATTCTCATATATGCATATAAACATAATATTTACTGAGACGTTAATATGATTAGTTTTAATTATCAAACAGGTATATGTTAAGGGATACCTATATTTAATTAGAACCCTCCCATTTATAATTGTTTAAAATCTCACATTTATTATGAGATATTAATAGCTTTGAAGTGTCCGAGTACAATTCAAGTTATTTGTGGTTATTTGGATCTTTATGATATACCCCAACCAAAATTTGCCCTACTCCTTAACGAATATCCAACCTGAATCATTAAAAAACTAACGCTTCATAACTATCCTGCCAATATTTCTTAAAACATAACGTTCCTCAATGTTTAGGAGTAAGAATGATAAACTTTCAAATTGTCTATGTAGTAAGACTTACAATCAGTGATTTCATTATATGAAAGTTATTTTCTTTAAGATTAAAGGCTTTCTTTTATACTTATAGTAAAATGATTATAATTAATAATGAAAATTATTTGAAATATTACGCGTTAAATATTAGGAGTTTCATTTAACTTTAATATTTAATACGAAATTGCAAATTTAAAAATTCATGAATATTAATCTTTCTTTTCTTTTATAACAAATTTCCTAACAATATTCGTTTCCTCTTTTTATACATTTTCTCTCTTAAAAAAATATCTAGTAATATTAAATTGATTGATTTGTTCCAAAATCATCTTTAACATCGAAACTTGCATTAATCACGACGACTGATTTTTTTAAAATTAATATTATATATTCATTAAAATTTAAAAAATTTAATACTAAATTATAAAAGTTTTTAAATATCTTTTCAATAATTTTTATTACAAGATGATTTTATGGTATTCACTAGATTTCGTGATAATGCAAATTTTTACATTACCGCCACAAATTAGTTATATGCACCTGATTTTATTGGACTGATCTTTTTGTACAGCATAATAAAACTCGCGCTATTGTCAAAACAAAAAAAATTAGCATTTTTTTGTTTTTATGGTAAAAACACATAATGTCACATACAAAATGTTCAATGTTTCAGAACATAAGATCACATCGTAACACAAAATTTATTTTAATCGACATCCCTGACAAGTGTAAATTTATGATATTTAAATAGTGAAAACCTATTGTCAAAATGATCTTTGATATCATTTCCTTAATTAATCAACTTTTAATAAGAATGACCTCACTTATAGATGTATATATTAATTTGTTTACTAACTCGCCAACATAACGCAATTTAACAATATGTTAAATAACATTCAGCGATGCAAAAACTAAAATATTTTAAACCCTGCTTTAGTCCATATTATTTGATTTTAAAAAGTTTCTACAACTTATGAATGAAAATTCATAAATGAGTCAAATTAACTATAACTGTTGCTTTAAAATTACAAGCATCGTATAATATTTAAATTTAAAATAGCTTTTATTCTCATATTTATCTATTTATAATAATAAGTACGAAAATAGAACGGGAATTTCCACCATTCTTTTTTTATACAATAAAAGGTTTCTTTCATCTTGCTCATCCATCTCGAGAAATAAATTTGCGCAACATTTGATAAAATAAATCATTTTGTCGGTAAGGTACGGTCTTATTTTGTAAATTTGTACGCACCGTCAGACGTTCTTTTGTACTGCGAAATTGAAGTGAAATGCAAAAATCATTTTTATAATTATCTATCAAAATAATTATCAAATTTACCAATTATTACTGATATTTTGATATTATGACAAAAAAATAAAGTTTTTACAAAAATAAAACCTTTACAAAATGATAAATCCGATGATGTAGATGTAGATATTTCGTAACTTACCGTTATTAATATACCCGTTAATGTTAGAATTACAATAATTAGCAGGATGATGGGATACATATGTTTTATTGTTCAAGCTAATGATGTGGGCGAAATCGATATATATCGCCCATATCCGAAACCGAAATTGTCCGAATTACTTTCGCCCGATAGTGTAATTTTCCGATATTCCGAAATTCCGAAACTCTATCCGAAATTAATTATCCGAAATTTATAAATAATAGAATAAAAATATTTAAAAATAAAATTTAAACGGTTTATTTATTATGTTAATATCAAAACAAATCATTCATCTATATATTTATCCGCAATGGCTTTTAGATCCCAATCTCCATCTATATCATCTACAGTATCGCTATTACTACTAATACTATGAATATCATTGTCATCTACATTTTCTTTCATTATTTTATCTAGACCTGCTCCGCATCTAAATTTACTATACATTCGATTTCTTCCTCATAATAAAATTGCTCATTTTCAAAATCTTCTGTTTCTTGTAAAAATTCATAATCAACATCTTCAAATAACCTCTCAAACTTCAGATGGTACTTCTGGACATAAATTTGCCAAATGATCTTCACATATTTTTGGTGATCCCTTATAACATATTTTTACAATAAGCACAGATAGCATTATAATGTCCTTTTGAAATTTGTCGACCTTGTTTAATATGTTTTCCCCATATTATAGATTTTGAATGTAAAAAAAATCGAAAAATTAACGTTCCAAAAAAAATAAATAAAAAAATAATTAATTAAGTTACGGTTAAAACTATTTTAGACAATTAAATTTTAATTTATTGAATTAACCTATTTTGGTAGAAATATTCTTAGTCAAAGTCATATGAATTATATAGTTTCGGATATCGGAAGACTAAAATATTTCGGAATAATATCGTATTTTCGCCCAATTACGGAATTTAGGGACAAATTTCGGATCAGCTCTCAAAATCCGAAATATTTAGGATTTAAAAATAGGATTTCACCCACATCATTAGTTCAAACATTTGAAATATAATAAAATTACTTATATATTTATAATAAGTCCTAGAGGTGTTGCTAGTACCTTTCAATTATAACACACTCTGTTATTATAATGGGTTTCAAAATCACAAAATTTATTTTTTTTTCCGATGTGTAGTATGATACTGAAAACAAAAAATAATAATAGTTTAACATGCTGCGCCCGTAATATGTAACTGAGGAAAATTGACTTTTTTTTTGAGTACCGGTGTTAAACCTGGAAACCAAGCCAACAAACCAATTATCTTAATAAATTATTATCTCAAAGGCCTTTCCTAAGTGAAATTACGATAAACAATCAATTATTACGATTCACTTGTGTAGTAATTTATCACTATCAAACCCTTATATGAAGGTTGGAGTATAAAATAGTATCTTTATTAGAACTGTAGAGCTATAAGTCTAATCCCAAGACTCATTAAGAAACACTATTTTCGACTCAAGGTCAACTTACATGTCTATTTGTATAAAATTCTGGACTAATACTAAATTATAATAAATATTACAAATAATGAAAATAATATAAATTAAAAGAGAAATTAAATAATTAAGAGATAAAATATGTTAAGTGTGTCAAATTTGTTGAGCGTTAATTTCATGTCTGATCGCGTAAATTGAGCGCAGTACAATTTTGCGGTATGTAGATAATCAAATTCTAGGTCTATGTCACGCTGTAATTAATTAAAAATCATTTTTATAGAAAATGAGAAAATACTTTAATATACAGTTAAACGAAGTCTTTTCTTCGTTTTAAAACAACTTTACAAATTGATGATTCAAATTATCAAAAATGATATGTCATTTATGTAAAAATTAACATAATTTCGAATAATGCTACTCGGTATGATTTGAGTCTTCAATTATTTCTATATTTCCATGATCAAAATTACCTTGATCCTTCATGACTGCGTTTCTTTCTGTTTCTAATATTCTAAGTTCCTTTGCCTTGATTTCAAATAATTCTTCTAGTGCTTTATCAAGCTTGCTCTTTAATATTTTGATAATTTCATTTTTATGGTTGTTTTCATTTTGCAGTTTATTTATTTCTGACTGACTATTCTCACGTAGCTGTTCAAATTCTTTTCTATGATGATTTATTTCTATTTGAGAATTCTCATGCAGATTTTCAGAATTCTCACGCAGATATTCTATTTGCTTTTGAGAATTTTCAATTTTCTTTCGAAGATTATCTAATTCAGTTTGAGAAATTTCAAGATCATTTTGCAGATTTTCTAAATTTGTTTGACAATTAAGGTTTTCGTTTTTTAGTTTATGGTATGTTTTCTTCTGTACAAACATATTCATATATATGTAGCTGATGCAGTTATAATGAAAATATTAATTTTAAATTAAAAAGACTTAAAGATAGGTAAAGGGACTAATATCAATCAATTTATCAAAGGTGCCTTTATATATTTTACGAAAATATCCACATATTAATAATATCCAGCTTGAAATCCTATGCATTCCGGAATTTATCACCCATCAAATGTCAGATTCCGATTCATTCTTTCGGAAATTCGTAATAGGTATTATAAAAATTTCATTCATTATTCTCACATGCTAATCTGCGCATCAATAATTGATCACATTCCTTTCCGTTTTTGCCTACATTTTGTCTATAAAGCATGGAGGTAAAAAAGGTTAGACAAAGATTTTAAAGAAGGAAAAAATATATCAATCATTATTAGTGTCTCAATAATCTGCAACTGTACCATCGATGGCAGTTTTTTTGCATTTATCAAAATATAAAAAAGAACATATGGGAAAAAAAATTAAAAATGGATGACCGGACCGATGGATAAAGAAAGAATAAAAAGCCAAATGATTGGTAAATAAACAATTTGTTTAAATGGGAAGATTGCAGGCTCTGAGTTTTTTTTTGACTAAAATTAATCTGAAATAAAATCAAGAAAATTTTGTTAAAATCTTGATTTCCTAGAAATCTTCCCAAATAAGAATTCTAAATCATGTAATTTAATAATCATGTGAGAATTTCACGGGCTACCAAAAATCGCAGTCACGTGGGACTTAGTTTTTTCACGCGGCGTGAAATACTATTTGTCACACGAATATTTGTCATATCATATATTGCTGCATAATGCGGGCCAAAATGTCTCGTGACTTCGACTTTTTGATGGTTATGCTGGGGAAGTTACTATCAGACGCCAGACCTATAATTTTAGCCTGAATTAATCAGTCAGAATTAATAAAAATTTTATTAAAATTTTATTTATCAAAGAATTTACTTATTTTTTATCTAAAGATAAAAATTTTTCTTGAAAGTAAATAAAAATAGAATTTTTCTACATAATACTTCAAATGTAATATTTAATTTCTCTTTTAGATATAGTATTATTTAATAAACATTATAGAATAATATTGGTGATGTTTATAGAAAAAGCTATGTATAATTTTAAGAAAAGACATGAAAAAAGAGCTTTGCATACATTTTAATATTTTTTACCTCTACCATTCATTGACAAAAAGTTGTTTAATGCATAGTTTTTTTTTAAAAGAGCACTTTCTTAAACTTTGCTTTTATTATGTAAGTGTAAAATATTTTAAATATTATAAATAATAAAATATATTAAATTTCTTATTATCAGCCTTTAAATCTACTATAATTATATATATATTATAAAACATTTTTCTATGATTTTTAAATTTCTCAAAATTATTAAGATCTTTTACTTTTCTTTAGTATTTCACATATTAAAAAAGCTTTGTCTAATTCAAAATACTATTTTTAATATTTAATAGAGATTTCTTAATTTTTAACTTTAAAAATATTTATTACAAAAATATCTCTTACTATTATTTTCAATATCTTTAAAAACTAAGTTGTCTAAGTTCTTAATCTACAAGAAATAATCATTTTACTTATACTTACCTATCTCTTCTAATTTATTATATCTGTAAGGATCATAAAATAAATAATATGTAGTCTATTATAATTTTTACTATATATTATAAATTTAAATCATATAGTTTCTTTATTCTATTTTCAAATATTGATAAAAATATTTTGATTTTTCTCTATTATCTTATTAAAGGCTTATATATAAATAGGTATAGTATTAAAATACTATACAGTTTAATTTATTTCAAGTATAACTTAAGTATTTTTACTATATAAATGCATTTAAGTTGTTCTATATAATTAATTATTCTGATATACAAAAAATATATTAATGCTCTTTATAAATAATTATCAGTAGATAAAATATAAAGAAGTAGAATTTAGTTAATTAAATAAGTGATATTTATCATATAAATTAACTATATAAATTACAATTTACATTCATTAACATTTATGTATAAATTTACTTATTTGTGCTCATTTATTTATTATTATATAATGTTAAATAAATAAATATAATTAATATAATAATATAAAATAAAAATTGAAAAAATAAAAAATATATTAATATCAAATATCAAAATTTATATAATAAATTATAAAATTTAATTATATATAATTATGTAAACATTTTAAATAAAGAATTAAATAAAATATGTTTTAAATTTTAAAAAAAAAAATAAAAATATTTTTTTACCTTTTATCTTTAAACCATTCATTCTAAAAAATTTAAGATTTATTACTTTTAATTCTTAATAAAATATGTAAATTAAATTTATATAAACAAAGAATATATTATAATTATCAAAATTTAAATTTTACAAATATATAATATTTTCTGAGTTTGATAGCTTTAATAAGAATTATACCTATTTAATATATTTCTACTACTTATTATTAAAAGGATTAATTTTATAAATTAATTTTTATTTATCTTTTCATTATTATTCATTAAAATTATCATTCTTTATTTTATCTCTTTATTTAATTTTCATTAATTTTTTAACATTATTATTCTATATTAATTATTCAATTATTCTCATATTTCATTATAGTTTTTATTTATTTAGTATATTTTTTATTTTTATGATATTATTTTTTTATATGAAATTTATCTTTTATTTTATTAGTCTTCATATCATTTTTATCATTTCGTTTTTATTATTTCTACTTATTATTTTCTTTTATATTATTATTTCCTTTTATATAATCTACTTCTTTATTATTTTATAGACAATTCTTCTCTTTTTATATCATTTTCCTTTATTTCAAATTATAAATATTTTATTCTATTAGATATTTTTTCTTTTTCATAAGATATCTTCTTTTCATTTTAATATATTATTATTTTATTTCTTTTTCTTAGTCATTTCTTTAAATATTTCTTTTTTTTTATATAAATCTTTTTTTCTTTTCAATATGTAATTATTTTATTTCTTATTCTATTTTCTTTTAGATATTATTTTAGACCTTCTGTTTGATTATTTTAAACTAACATTTTATTAATAATCTTAGTATTTCTTATCATTATCATTATTATATTCTTGGTAAATATTACTTCAATTATTAGCATTTTGTAAAACATATTAATAATTATATTATTTTTTTAATTTTAATTTATTAATTTATATTAAAATATATTATTTAGAAATATTATTTATAAACTAATAATCATACTAAGAATTAGAATGAGCTTATTATTCTTTTCTAAATATTAAATTTATGTATAATTTCTCTTTATTATTATATTATTAAAATTACATAATTAACTGATTTACATAATTTTTTATTAAAATTTTAATATTTAAATATTAAAAATTTATTATATATATTCTATTTAGATTGTTTCTAATATTAATCTGGATCTTAAAGTCATAATTAAATCAAATTCTAACTAAAACCTATTTAATTAATAATGGTTAAGGATTATACCTAGATTATAATACCTAAAAATATGAGATCTTTAGACATTAGAATTATTATCAAATATGAATAGAGAGATTTCTTTTAGCTATAAAAATCATTTCTTTTCTATTCTTATAAATACAATTAGAATCATTATGAACTCTGCCTATTATCAAAGTATTTTTTAATATATAATCAGAAAAATCTGAGATAAAACAATCTTATAAAACTAATATTTTAAAAAATACTTTTTTATATAAAACTTAAAAAAGCAAGTGATCATTATATTTATATTATTAAACTCATCTAAAATTAAAGTAGATCTTTATTTTTAAGTAATAGTTTAGGATAGTATTACAATAATATAATATAGTCTATTAACTTTATTACTCTTTATGAAGTACTTAAGCTACTAATTATTGAATTAATTACTTTTTTACTTATATAAAAATCTAAATTTGAAAATATAAAATAGTATCCATTATAGACCTGTTAACAAAATTTTTATTAATCTCTGATTTTATTTACATTCACTTTAATTAATAGTTTTATTAAATTAAATTGAATCAAGATTTATCAAATCTGATTTAATCAAATTTTCATTTATCAGAATCTAAACCTAATCTAAATTTAACAAATTTATTAAAATTCAGATCTGATTTAAGTCTAATAAATTTAATCTTAAATCTGAATCTAATAAATCAATTTAAATTTAAATTTAATCTGATTCAGATCTAAAATTTTTTTAAAAAATGATTTTTAATTTTAGATGAAATCTGAAAATATTTTTTAATAAAAGAAATCTTTTCAATTCTAAAAAAATCTGAAAATCTACTTTTTTAATGAAAAAAACCTTTTTAATTTTAAAATAAATATGAAAAATCATTTTTTTTCAATAAAAAGAATATTTTAGCTTTAAAAGAAATCTAAAAGTTATTTCTTTTTAATGAAAGAAATTTTTTTAAATCTAAAAAATCTGAAATTCATTCCTTTTAAAACTTTTTAGCTCTAAAAGTGATCTAAAAAGTCATTCTTTTTTATAAAAAGAATCATATTTCAGTTTTAAAGAAACTACAAATTATTCTTTTCATAAAAAGAAAATTCAGTTCTAAAAAGATCTGAAACATTTCTTTTCATTAAAAAGAAATAATTTTCAATTTTAAAATTGTTGAAATTCTATTTTAAAATTAAAAAACAATTTTTTGGCTCTAAAAAAATCTGAATTCTTATTTTTTATTTCTAAAAATATTTAATAATAAATATATAATAAATAAAATAATATATATATAAAATAAAAATAATTTTTTTTTAAAAAACTTTTTATAATATATATTATTTAATTATTTAAATCATTTAAAAATCAGTTTACCATAATTTTAAACATATACAAAATTTTACTATTTTCTTAATAAATGATTTTTTTTATTTATAATTAAATTTTTAAATATTAAAAAACTTATTCAGATAAAATTTTATAGTAGGTATTAATAAATAATTTTTTGGTATTTTTAATAATTTTAAATATTAATTT